TATACCAACTAATAAAAAGTAAATCAGGTGACCAGAAAGTTTAAAATCCAAGTCAATAGAAAATGGTCAATACATATGTAAAGATGGTTACCGGAAGACGCAATTATGTCACTCATGAAGAAATTTAAATCACTTCACTTTGTGCTAAATATGGCGCTGAAGATGTTGGTTGTCCAGAAGTACGACGACAGCTCCGCAACTAAAGCAACCAGCCCAGAGAACACTGTTCACTGCAAATCACAGACTCACAGACACACTGGATTTTATTTACCCTTAAAAGCTGATACAACTGACAAGACTATTTTTGTTTTAAATATCACAGTAGAATCACAACAATGACCGTCAACTGTTTGACTATATACAACAGGTGAAAAAAATTAGATAATTTGAGCACTAAAATTTTGCAGCCAAATATGTTTCTGATAAGTGCAACACAACTCTGAAATTCAAAAGTCATTTCTTAAAGTGTTTTTCCGCTTCGACTTTCAGCGCATAGTCCTGTTTTTTGGATGCTCTATTAATTCTGACTTCAATTTCGATTTGTTCCAATGAAACCCTCGCACTGAACTTATAAGTCATACATTATCTAAAAACCAATGTACAAGGTCTGTACGTTATATAATCGCTCTTCTCTAGCATTCAAATGAATTTACATAAATGCATCTAAATTCTAGTTTATTTGTAATATTATGCAATGCAATAGCCGAAAGAAGAGTAATGTGCCAGGAAGCGGATTGATGTGCTTATTATTGTTCATAACAATTGAATACTGTACGATATTTCACAAACACTTATCTAGTGAATTTAACCGCCAGTAAAACGTTATTTAAATTATAAATTTCACAAGTTTTAATTACACTAGTTATGTATCATAAGCTGACATTTTATTCAAGTGAAAACATTTTCAAGTATTGGTTTTCGTAAGGATTTTGTTTGATTGGTTGGAGGATTTCATCATGAGCTGACATCAGTTAGAGAACCATTGGAAAACCAGCTGGGAGTACTGGACAGCTGTTTCCTGAGTCGCAGTTTAGAACTCGTCAGCAGTACGCATCCACTACCATGATTCGAACACAGGACTTTCCGTTTACAAGGTGAGCTCGTAGACCATTAAGCCACTAGAACCCGATCCAATGGTCAGTTCATGAATTCTAACTTCTGCCGATTCACAAAATAGTGCGACCGCGGCGATTTACTAAAGAGTCCTAAACTAGGACGAAACAGCTCTCCTGGACTCCTAGCTGATTTTCCAATGGTTCTCTAACCGATGTCAGCTCGTGATGAAATCCTCTAATCAACTACTTGTGCACAATTTTTTCGGCGACAGTTAATGATATTCCTGATATATAGATCTAATTATCTACATGTCATTTTTACCTGTTTGTTTGTATTTTCCTCACCCCGCTTATTGATTTATGACCGAATTTTCTCTCACTCTACTTATGACCCTTGTAATCCTATTGGTCGTTCGCTGTTTTACGTTATCAATGATATCAGTGCTTCTCAAGGTCATTTAAACCTAACAAGGGCAAGCTCTGTCAACCTCTTTTTGGATTGTTGTTTGAGAATGTAAAAGTTCTCTCTCTTATCGATGTCAAGTCTTCTCCTGTCTTTGTGGCCCGGCGATGTTATTGTTGTTGACGTACGATTAGGACAGATTAGCCAGCTAATTAAAGTTAGTATTCGCTCATAGTCCACTGGGTTGTAGTTCCAGTCATAACAATTCCCTTTACAATGTCTCTGAAGAATGGATTTATGCTGTGAGGATTCTAATGATAACAATACGACAATAAGTATCCAGAGTCAAACAAACTGTAGGAATAATGTGACACGAACGACCGCAGGAGAGATTTCTTTAAAAGGTTATCATATATCCAAAGTAACCCAATCTAATAAGTTTACCTACATGAAAATATCTCGTGGTGGTAAATAACTGAGTTCCACTGGTTCTGAATTGAGTAATCCTCACTGGGAGATAGATAACTTAGTAAAGTTTTCAGTTGCATTCTACATTGTAGCACTCGTACTGTCTACACCTTACAATCATACTTTCCTGATATTCTCATTGGTTCCTTATTGTGATCACCGTTGATTTAAGCTTGTGTTTACTGATTATTGTGTAGGACAAGCTGGTGCTTTCAATGAGATTCTGATATTTTCAGACACACCTATGCTCATACCACTTTTCACAAAACTACAAAACTCAATTGAACGGTTGTTTTTTCACAGTCACTACACCCTTATTTATTAGTGAACTATACTTCAATTTTTTTTTCGGTACTGGCTGATTTGTCTAGTCTTTGTAAAACGGAATGTGAGCGTATCTCGTAAATTTGAGAGATAGAATTGTACTGAGCACATAAAATAGTAAGAGAACGATGGCAGAAAGTCAAGAAATCCTTATAACCTAATTAATCTCATCATGAATAGATTCTCAACCATTCTGTTATCTCTGTACTCGCCAGACATTTGATCATTAGTATGGAGTAAGCAGACGCATCTGTTGATGAAAGTTTTGCAGTAACTTGTTGGAAATGCTTTTCATGAAGTGCAGTGCACGTTTCTCACCCGCATAGAAGAACTGTTTGACTGACTTGGTATTCGTGTTAAAAATCAGAATCTTGTTCTTTATGCTGATTGAGTACAGAAGATTTGTAAACTGATTTCAGTAGTAATGAAGGTCTGTCTTGCCTTTCCGATCCTGACCACCTTTGAAATCTGCATCCATTCCGACTGCCTGTGGTTGAAACAATGCTGGTTTCCTAGATTAGTAAACGGAGTGGCTTCTTTCAAATTTCTCCCGCTAATAGTGTTTGGCGCTTATTATTGTCGGTTGGTTAATTTCATCACCTCCGTCTTCTCCAAATTCACCTGAATTCCTGTCTTTACTAACTGCCTCTTCTGACTTGGTGGTTTCCACCTGGAAATCTTCGACGTTAGACATAAATCAAACACGCGAAGGTTTGACTGCCATTCTGTGCATAGCATTGCAATTTGATCTTCAAATGACTTGTTTTTACAGAATCCAGCTTATTCTGTGAGGAGGAGTTCTGTATCCAGTGCATCTTTTATTCTCTCTAGAGTGACGTGGTTTAATATATTGCTTGGCGTAGACAAGAGCATAATTCGGCATTAGTTCTTGCAGAGGCTTAGGTCGTCCTTCTTTGGTAATGTAACAAGGTAGTTTTTCTTCTAATCAATGTCCCAATGTTCTTCTACACAGGTTTCTCCACTGATGTTACGTAATGTCTCAGATTTCGCCCTAATAACTGCGGTGAAAGTGTGTTTTGTAGTCTCGTCCTTCAGTTTCTGAGAGTTGAGATTGAATTGTGGTCTATCTCCAGTTGTTATGGTGGTTTTCGGTTTGACCTTGAAGTTTGGTCGCACTAGATAATGGTCTGAGCCCACATCGCCTTCTCAACTTTGTGTCCTGCAGACTGAGTCTCCACTTTCTTTAGATTACAATGAGGTCGAAATGATTTTGATGGCAGTTTAGCAATCCCCAAAAGTTACTAAGAGTTAGCAGTTAAATATATTTCCTTTGGCCTCTATATTATTTGAAGATGTTTCACCTGATCACGATTCAATAATGCTCTTATCCCTCATAAACTTCATCAACCAAAGAGTTGTACTCACACAGTCACGAATTGATATCAGTTAGAGAACCATTGGAAAACTAGCTGGGAGTACTATGCCAATAACATTTTACGATAGCTACCTGCTTCCCAAGCTCGCACTGCTTAAATGAGAATACACAAAGACGTAAGCCGCAAAGTATATTCTACGCCATAATTTATGAAATTTAATATCACCACAAACATGTCATTTTAGTCTGTAAGCATGATCAATTAAATTGCGAATGTTATTTTACAGAGGCTGCATATCGATTACCATACCACCACCGATAAAGCATAACCATTGTTTACATATCCATTGCGCAATCTCCAGCTAATGTCATAGGCGCGTACCTGTTCTTTTAACTGACATGGGAGACCCCATGGAAGTGGGAATTCATGGGCCATTGATCATGTTCAAGTAGTTGAATGGACTACGAGTTCGCCTTGTAACCAGAAGATCCTGGGTTTGAACCCTGGCGGGGACACACTGATGAGGAGGCCTCAACAAGGATGAAACAGCTGTCCAATACTTCCAGCTTGGTTTTCCAATGGCTCTCTAACTAAATATCAACACGCATGATCAAACCTGATCAAAATGATTAAACAATTACTACAAACATTTCTCATTCACCTGAGAAGTACTCATTCACACTCAACAACAACAAATACATAAATAAATAAACCAATCAATAAAGAGAAAAACATAGAAAAAGTTCACTTCATTTTGTAGTAACACTGATCTGGAACATAACTATCGATTAATACACGTTATTTCTGTTGCTGTTGTCCTTTATTTTGTCACCGACGATCAATAATCAAAAATCAATGATTTGTTAATCAATCAATCAATCAGTTAATCAATGAAAGCTCAATTCCTCAATACGAGGAAATGAAGATCATGAACAACAGGAACATAGGAAATATCCCAGGAAAGTCTATCAAAAGCCTTATTTCATTTTTACACAACTCAACTCCTTATCAAAAATATACACATAGAAATAAGAATAAAAAGGTTTTTTTGAAAAAGAAAAAATATATATATATAACAAAAAGATGGTGAGTATATTATAATGTATGATATTGAAAAAAGTATTGATTATTATTAGTATTGTTGTTATCGCTATATTATCATTAGAAGAGTGAAAAAATCAATACACATGAGATCAATAAAATTACGCACCCTAGAAAAGAAACAAACAGCTGATTCATAGAATTTCTTTCTTTTTAACTGGATCATACTAGTTGCGGTGATAGATCAAAGGAGAGGTGTTTAAGCGGGGAGATGAAAATCAGAAATAAAAAATGAAAAAGAGCACCATCGATATGCACTCACACAAACACCCACCCAGAGAATAGACGTCAAAGATGGAAAAAGAGGAGGAGGTGGAGGAGAGAAAATAAATCAATAAACTAACAAATACTGCTTACCACTGATCCAATTCAAAGCACATATTCCTCGATTAGGGAAATACACGGAATTAAGGGATGAATAATAGAGGGGAAAATAGGAACTGTGAAGATACAGAATGAGACAGCACTTGTCGAAACATGATCACAGATAATTTTTATCAGAGAAAGAGAAAACATGGATAGATGGATAGACACACGCATACACAAATACCTAATATCACATGGTAAATTTGAGGAGAGGAAAATTAATTCACAGCTAACAGACATCAAGAGTTACACGTGGAGGATGTAAACGTTAGCAGGTGGTGGTGGTGATCAGTTGAAGATGATGAATTGTTTTCAGGCTTTGTAGTAGTTGGCATGTTGCTGGCTGTTTTTAATTGACTGAAATGTTTACAATTTGAAGTGTTATTACTGTTGCGAAGTTTCGAAGTACAAGTATTACAAAACTGTACAGATTTTTGATCAGTAGACCATAAACTTGGAATGATTGGTGGATTGGGATGGATACACCGTGAACAGGTGAGAAGGCCACATGAATGACAATGAACCTTTATAGGAATTGTTAGCAATAACACAAAGGAAAAAATAAATATCAACATTAAGTAAAATGTTAATGAAAAGGAGAGGTATTTTCAGATAATAATAATAACTATATTCAAAAAACGCATTACCAAACAGCGTTGACCGAGAAGTAATTTGGAAACTTCTTCAACAATATGGGGTACGATGCACAAGTCATTATCAACCTCATTCAACAGCTTGCTATATAACAATGACATGTGTCAGGTGATCCACAACGGAAAACTCAGAGAGGCGTTCCAAGTGAATAGAGGAGTGAGACAAGCTGGCTGCTCATTGCTATCGCCCACAATGGTATTCTTAATTGTGGGGGAATGGATCATGAGTCAGACTGGGTGTTCTGAGTGAGAAGACAGGAACATGCTGGACCAGTGATAAGAAGACTCTAGGAGATTTGGATTTTGTAGATGATTTGTGTTTAGTGTCACACAGACACGAAGACTTGCAGGTAGGCGGAAATCAACAAACCGGCAGAAGAGGTGAGGCTGGTAATGAAGACAGAACTCCAGGTGAACATGGAGAAGACGAAAGTCATGAAGATAACCAACCAAAAGCAACAGCAACAACAACCAGCACCAATCACCATCAACGGGAGAGATTTCACGGAAGATACATCCTTCAATTATCCACCTAGGAAGCATCGTCTCAACAAGCCACCCAGCCAGAATTGGAAAGGCGAGATACGCCTTCATCAACCTGAAACCAATCTGGAAATCTGCTGTCACTCAACCAGCAAAAAGAGGAAGATTCGGATTTGAGGTTAGTCACTTCTTCCATATAGGGAAAAAACTTGCACTACTTGTCACGAATAGGATTTACAACGGGCCAATGCAGACTTTTATCAATAGCTGCCACCTTCACTGGCTGGCTCCATACTGACAATCAAATGGCCAGCGGGCCGGCCAGAAAGAATCAGCGACAAGAAACTCTGACTGGCGATGAACAAACCGACCAAGATCCGATCGCTCAACAAATATGTATGAGGAAATGGAGATGGATCGATCGTCGAATGACATCGCGCTCAATGCAGGCCATAACTCGAGTGGAATCGCAATGGGAAGCGACAAGTGGGTCGTTAGTGCAAGTGTAACATGGAGGAGATCGTGTAGAAAGGGGGAGGAGGAGGAGATGAGATATTATAGGCAATCATGGGCCCAGCTGAAGAGGACACCAAAAAAACGAAGTGGAGATGTGTTGTTGAAACCCTATGTTCATCTAGGAACCTAAGGGGATAATAATAATTACATTATTCTACACAACACTCTACATAATGCACAGAATTTTTGGCGTGGTTTATTGAGTAATATTCTCTTTATCCACGATCTTCAAGTAAAATAGTAACCCACAGTAAACCATATAACGCAGTGTTGTTCGATTTGAAGATTAAAATTAAATGCCGTATGGCATTTTTAATTCGTCTCCGATAAATACGCAGAAGTAGGTTGAAAGTCCATCAAAAATGTGTATGAGTACATTTGGCGCCCCATAGACGTAGCTCAACAGTTAAAACAAAGAGAAATCGACAAACTTCTATGCTCTGTGTGGGATACAAATTCAGGTAGTCTAGTGACTCAAGCAGACTGACATTAATCAAGGAGAAAAGAGACATCACTGTAAGGTTAGGCAGCTTCAATATATGAAACCGTTTGCCTTTATAAAGACCTTTATAATATCTCATTAAGTCGAGTTATTAGCAATATTTACTTAGTAAATTCCAGAGACTTTTTATGAAGTCAAAAAAGACAGTTGCCCCTGCAAACCACACCTGCCTATATATCATTATCACTGCTAGTAATATTATCATTATATGGGCGTTGGTCATGTTAATAGTCAATCGAAAAATGCCCAGGATGATAAGAAAACAAGACAGACGAAAATATTAATAAGTAATAGTCGTTACTAAGTGACAAACACTGGAGATACATTCAACAGCAGAAAAAAAATTCAGCCACACGAAATTATCGCAGAACATATACGTGGCCGGTGGAATAAAATTCAACAGCTTTTTATTTCTTATCCTCAAACACAAGTCCCCCGCTGGAAACATGTCAAATTTAGCGTGAATAATCAAACCTACTATCCAACAAGTATACACCAAGGGAAATGAAGATGAAGTCAATACACCGTTGAAACGGTATTCAAGAGACATCGAATATCAGACAGGCTTTCGAGTGGAACATGAATGGAAAACAACGAGTGGAGCGTCCGATAATGACATAGAGGAGGAAATCTATGGATCTTTGGCATGCGATTCGCTCCCACCAAATGCAAGATGATGTTACAGGATTGGACTACACAGACTTCTAGATTAGAAATAGGAAGTGAAGTGGTAGAGCACGTTGACCACCTCACTTACTTGGGAAGTACCATCAGCCAGAGCCAACGGGTTGATCTCTGACGAAATCTCAGCACGGATACAGAGGGCTAGTTTCGCATATGCCAGTTTATGCCGTCTCTGGCGTAGACGTGATATCCGACTATCGACCAAAGGGCATGTGTACTGCTCATCAGTCCGCTCCGTCCTCCTTTATGGCTGTGAGACCTGGCCATTGAGAGTGGAAGACATGAAAAGCCCGGCTAGCTGTCTTTGATCATAGGTGCCTGTGTTCTATCTCCCGTGTGAAGTGGTATAATAAGGTGAGCGATATTGAGGTTAGGCTTCGGTCGAGTGCTACGTAAGGAGGGAGGGAAACTCAATCTACGAGGCTGTGAAGCTACATCGACTGAGATGGTTAGGACATGTGTTACGTATGCCTAGTCATCTTCTTCCTGGACAGGCAATGTTAGCTGACATAGGGTCAGGTTGGAAAAGAGCCAGTGGTGGTCAAACCAAAACATGGCTTCATCAGTCAATGAAATCCACAGCAGTTAGTTCAAGTCAGCCACGTAGGAAGGTGTAGACTTCCTGGTTGGGATCCTCCGGACGGTAAAAACCAATGGTTGGAAACAATTGGTGACATCGCTCAAAATCGTTCTCAATGGCTGGCGCAGATGCATTCACTCCTTGACTTATGATTTCCAATGAAACTGTTTTGTTCTTCGTTATTACTATTCCTTTGTCTCACACCTCTGTTTACTGTCTCCAATATGCATTTCTCCTCCTTTCTTCTCTTGCTTTGTGTGCTACATGGAGTGTGGCGACTTGAACTGCCGCACATATGTGCAAAGTTCTATGTCGAAAACAGACAGAGAGACAGAGGAGGAAATGAACGTTTGAGTAGTCGTAGAGCCGGTTAAAAACGGCGGCACAGAACAGAGTACATTGGGGATATGCTGTCACAGCCATATGTCCCCCCTCCGGCGCTCGAAACCCAAAGGACGAATAATGATATGTAGTAATAATGATTCTCATTGAAAACTCAGTAACACTTCTAACAGCGTCAACAGGATAACTCTTCAAGTTGGTTAACGCCAATCACACCTAACCACTTCACCATTTCGCATTGGATTTAAGCATGAATTGTGGCTTGAATAGGAATCACAAGTCAGTGAAGCTGTTTCAAGTGTGTTATGTATGTATATATAGTTATGTGTATCACTGCACCGTATTTGTGTGCCATAAACTAAATTCAATGAAAAAATTACAGATAGACAAAAGGTCAAATATATATATCAGGTCACCAAAAAACAAAAAATAATCAATACCAATAAAAAAGTGAACAAGAAAACAATAAAACCTATGGAGACAAGTAGTCGTCATCAGAAGAGGTGTGATGAATACTCTCTTACAAAGAATCCTAAGAACTCACTTCATATCGGAGTTAGTGCTGAAAATGCTGTCTAGAGAAGATCAAAAATGAAAGCTTCGTGATTGCGCCAACCAGCTCTGAGAACACAACCATAGCAAGTTACACTAAAAACCAACTGGACTACCTGGCGAAGGCATCCACTCTTATTGTTGGATATTTGTTTAATTAGCGAACTCTACAAATCATTATCAAACTCATTCAACAGCTGGCGTTATGACAATGACACGTATCAAGCGATGCACAACAAGAAAAACTCAGTGAAACCTTCAAAAGTGAATACGGCAGTAAGAAAAGGCAATCTACTGTCGCCCACGATGATTTTCCTAATTGTGGTGGACTGGATTATGCAGCACACAGTGCATGGAGAGCGAGAAGACAGGAATACGTAGGAGGGATAAGAAGACTGTAGCAGGTCTGAACTTAGCGGCTGATTTATGTCAAATGCCACATAAATTCGATGACTTACAGGCAGAATCCAACAAGCTGTCAGAAGAGGCTTTCAGCAAAGGCAAGACTTCAGGTGAACATAGGGAAGATGGAGGTGATGAAGATAGCCACGCATCAAAAACAACAACAACTACAACAGGCGGCGATGGCTATCAACGGATGAAATTTGAAAGAAGCCACTCCGTTCACTTGTCTAGGAAGAATCGTTTCAACTACAGGCAGTCGGAATAGATGAAGATTTCAACAGAAGCCAGAATCGGAAAGGCAAGATACACCTTCATCATTCTGAAATCAGTTTAGAAATCTTCTGCACTCAGATGCATAAACAACAAGATTCGGATTTTCACCACAAATGTGAAGTCAGTCAGTAAGTCAGTACTTCCATACGGGTCAGAAACTTGCACTGCATGTCGCGAAAAGCATTTCCAAAAGGACACTGCAGACTTTTATCAACAGCTGCCACCTTCACTAGCTGGTCCCATACTGAAGATCAAATGGCCAGCTGTCCGGCCATAAAGAATTAGCAACAAGAAACTCTGTCTGGTGATGAACAAACCAATGAAGAGCGGATTGCTCAACAAATATGTAGGAGAAAATGGAGATGGAGGAGGCCGTCGAGTGAAATCGCGCACAATGCAGGCCATAGCTCAAGTGGAATCCTAATGGGAAGTGACGAGTGGCTCGTCAGTGAGAGGGTGACATGGAGGAGATCGCGGGTTGAGGAGGAGGAGATGAGAGATTATGGACAATCGTGGAGTCAGCTAAAGAGAACAGCAGACAACAGGACAAACTGGTAATGTGCTGTTGAAGCCCTATTTTCCACTCGGAACCCAGGGGAATAATAATATGAATAATACAACAATATAAACTCTTGGTGATTACAGCAACAGGATGAGAGATTTCTAAAATCTGACGGTAGTATATCAACCTTAGACCTGACAGAAACAATTCTAAAACAAACAATGCATTAAAAGTATGATAACAATAATCAAAAATATGTGTACATATACTAATGAACTTACTGATTGATTGGATAAGACTAAGAGACTATTACAAACACAGCATAGATCACCTGATTTCATACACGGTGACCATTTTACACTGATTATATCCATTTCACACTTGAGTTGTTCAACAGTAGGCAGAGGCAGTTGTTTTTGATCATCATCTGAAATAGAGGAAACAAACAATCAATTAACGATGATGATGATGATGATGATATACGGGAGTAATGTTGATAGGAAGCGGCTAATCCCAGGTAGAACAGGCTTACACTGGCGTCAATCAGCCTGAGCAGGTTATATACCATTGGAGCGCGGTAGAATATTTACTATAATACTTTATGACAATCTTGAAGCCAAATCCTGGTGATGTTTATACATTTATATAATGTGTTTTTTTGTATTGTAAATTGAAGCATTCTCACCAGTTCTAACCAACCTGTCTTCTGTCTTCACTCTCGGAGGTTAAGGCGATTGAATTGATTAGCAATCAATATCAGATCTTTAATCAGGTTGTCGGTTTCTTTTCAGTATGGAAGCCAAAATCCAGAAGTATTATTATATCAGCAGAAATGCCAGAAGTGTTACTCAGTAACCGAATGCATTACTAGATGGTTGGAGGCAACCGGTAGGAAGTTATGGACTCAGGTTTCCTGCTTTTTGGCACTCACCAGTCAGCAAGGAGTATATATATGTAACCTCGGAGAAACTCATGTCCCTTCTGAGATTCGAACCCGTGTCACCAACAACCAGTGCTGCAGTCAGAAACGTTGCCGCTGAGCTATTCGGGCTCACGACTGACCTCCTGTCGTGGATACTTTGGTTGGACACTTGTTAGGAACTAGTGTAATGTGTTTAGTCCTTTGTTTGCTGATGGCGGGCTATCTAGCATGCATAGTGGTCACATTGCAAACTTGACTGATAGAATTAAAACGAATGGTTACTGAACAAAAGATACTCTTATCGATAATCCCTTCTTCATCAGGTCCTACAGTTATATACACATAATAGTAGTGAGTGAATTAATGTTATGAACAACATTAATGTTGTTTAAATAACATCGAATCAATAGTGAGGTCAACAGATCACAATTCAATAGCATCAACACAACAATGAACTGAATATTAGAAAAAATAAGAAGGATAATAATACAAATTTATGAATTTCTAGTCTCTAATGAAGGCCGGCCAGGGCAGTAGTAGTGGTTGGCTGGACATACTTATTCTGCACACAGAGCACTGGTTGTTTCACGCGAATAGTGATAGCCTCTGCTGTTTCGAGCATGCGGTACCTGGGTGCTTTTTTTCGTAAATTTATTTGGTACCCGGTAGATGATAGAGAAGGATTCTTCAATGCTGGCTTTGTGGCTGTTTGGACCAGATGGTTTAATATCGAACTGTTAATGGTTTTCACTACACCTTCACTTAGCCATACTGGTATATTTCCCCGAGAAAGCATGTAAAATCAAGTTCCTAGAGCAACAGCCCATATAAATCGATCCACAGGCGTAGTTGAATTGGTTAAATACAATTAGAAGTGGCTAGTCTAGGTACTTCAACTTCTTTCAACTGATTTTCTTAATTTCTTCGTAATTATTTCGCTAGGTATATTGCCCTTGAATTGCAGGGCTTCTTGTTTACGGATAGTGAGTAGTCCTTTTTCGCTTTCTTTCTCATGTGTTTCTTGATAAATTTGTCGGGATAGCCATTTTCGATCAAAGTATCATATACAAAGATTAATTCATCTTCAATGACCTCTTCTGAGTATATAGCTCTAACTCTGTGGCTGAGGGTCTTTACTAAATTTCTTTTGTACTGGAAAGGAACAAAGTTGTGAAAGTGTGTATATTGTCCTGTCCATGTACTCTTTCTATGCAAATTTCTCTTTATGCTACCATCTAGTCTTCTTGTAAGGAGGACATCCAGGAAGACAATTCTGTTTTGGGATTCCTCTTCGCATGTGAATTTCACAGCAGAACGTATTTCATTGAATTCAGTTATTACTGTACTCCTATCCGAATCATTATCAGCAATAAAATGAAAACTTTCGGATCAGGTTGTTCAAAGGTCCATTTTCTAGTTTACTTAGAAAGAAATCTGCCCAAATTGGACCCAATGGAGAGCTCATCACCATCCCATCCATTTGTCTGTAAAGTGTGCCATCAAATTTGAAACTTGAATTCATGGTACACTTTAATAGCAATGCTTTGAGGATTTCCGTTGAGATAGAATTCAGGCTACAGCAAACAAACAGAGGACTACATGTATGATACTAGTTGCTACCTAACGTCCAAACAAAAACAAAAACAATTGAATTTTCGTGTAGTTTGTTATGAGCCATACATATATATACTACCCGGACCTCTGTAGATGAGACTGGGTTCCAACTCATGATCCAATTGGTTGAAAATCAAGCACCTTTATGCATAAACCAAAGCTCCACAAATTTCATGCCATTTACCAGTAGGGTGCAGCAGGTCGGGTGTGAGGACAAATAGTCGCCAGCGATGACATTGGTTAGCGGTTGGGCTATATCGTGAATTGGCAGAAGTTAGAATTCATGGACTGGACATTGGATCGGGTCCCAGTGGCTTAATGGTCTACGAGCTCGCCTTGTAACCAGAAGGTCCTGGGTTCAAACCCCGGTGGGTGCGTACCGATGAAGAGTCCCAAACTAGGATGAAACAGCTGTCCAGTACTCCAGACTGGTTTTTCAATGGTTCTCTAACCAATGTCAGCTCATGATGAAATCCTGTAACCAATCAACCAAAATCCCTACAAACCAATACTTGAAAAATAATATAAAACCAACAATAGGCTAATAGATTTGAACAGAAATATCGATACAGGCTGACGTGTATACGACATTACACAAATAAGAATACATACATTATAATATCTTGTTATAAAAGGCTATTCTCATCGCCTTATTCACGCCCTATAGAGTAAGTAGTACGGTGAGGACATTAACATTTTGATTGATCAGCTAGACTGTAAGTAAAGAATTTAATTGATATACACACCACACACACAGAAAGATAGAAAAGCTATACAACATACATGTACAAATCTATACTAGAGAAAACTGTTAATTAATGCAACAAATAAGAACTGTAATAAAACATTACAAAATAAAGCAGTAGCTAGAGTTTATCACCTAAAAATTATTTATGCATGTCGATTGACCTAGCAGTATAATGTGGTAGTGTGTCTCGACTGGAACATCGAGACACATATATATGAAAGAGTGAGAATAATAAACAGAACCATACGCATTATATATATACATATATATATATATATATTTGGCTATTACATTAGAAAAATAAAACCAGACATTCAAGTGTTGGTTTGTAGGGATTTTATTGATTGGTTACAGGATTTCATCGTCAGCTGACATTGATTAGAGAAGCATTGGAAAACCTACAGGGAGTACTGGGCAGCTGTTTCCTCCTTCCGAGTTCAGCAGTATGCATCCACCGCCAGGGTTCGAACCCACGACCTTCTGGTTGCAAGGCTAGGGAGCTCGGAGATCATTAGGCCACTGGGACCCGATCAAATGGCCAAAGTCCATGAATTCCAACTTCTGCCAATTCACGATTTAGCGCGACCACTAGCCATTGTCTTCAGGGAGTATTTTCTCTCACGTCCAACGTGCTGTACCATTGCATCGGCTCCGAGTGGCTTAATGGTTTACGAGCTCTTCTTGTAGCCAGAAGGTCCTGGGTTCGAACACTAGCGGCGGGTGGGTACTGATGAAGAGTCCCAAACTAGGTGGACGAAACAGCTGGCTGTCCAGTACTCGCAGCTGGTTTTCTAATGGTTCTCTAACCCATGTCAGCCGGTGATGAAATCCTGTAACCAACCAATCAAATCGTTACAAACCAATACTTGAATATCAATGAGATGCTCACTAGCAACTGGACCTATTCAAGTAGATAGTTACCTGGGGTTCTAGTGAGAAATCGTGAAAACAATATAGTTCGCTCATATGTCCTGTTGTAATTCATCAGATACAATTTTGTTTTGACTCCTTTCAGTTCATAGTGGAAAGTGGGGCTTGAAGACTAAGCTTAGAGTAGCTTCAGTGGCGGTGATGTTATTTTCGCGTGGCACAGATGCCATCCTCACATCCAACCTTCTCCCTTCACTGAGCTTACTACAGGATAGGCGACGTTTTAGGATTGAGTTGGCAGGCAATCCAACTTGGACTACGTACATGGTTGGAGAGCATTCTACCACTGGGCCACAGACACCCGATTCACTTTAGCGACTGCAAAGTCTAGTACATAAGTCAAAATAGTATCTTCGAGACAGTCAGGTTATCAGAGCACGTACATTAGATAAATTAGTACTGACAGTCTTTACTGAAATTAGAAATATATAGAGGTTCAACTTGTGATACCCGACACCATCTCAAGGCACTAAGGGGGAAAGATGATACTCTTTGATGGATTAAGATAGGGAGAAGCAAACTAAACAGTACACACTGGCGCCATTGTGTCAAATTATAAGCTAGCATGAACAATTAGTCAACCAACAAAGGATTCGACAGTCACATAAACCCTAGATAGGTAACCTAAATCAGCATACCCAAAATTGGCTTCCTTATCTTCTGCTTTCTTCCCCAAGTTAATCTTGTCCTCAAAAAAATATATATGACAGCTGGACAGATGGTCAGCAAACATTTCTAACAGATGCTATGCAATTTTACAACTTTAAAGAACAACTTAGTTGGCTTACACATAAGACTTCATACAGTAACCTCTAGATGTTATACTCACGATAGTTGATCAAATACCAGTGATCCTTTGCTTATAATGATGGTCGAATACACTCAACAGATTTTAGATGCAATAAATTGTTTATTCGCAACATTTCGCAGCCCTATAGTAGGACAAAGTAGACTGTAAATGAACGTGAACATTGAACGTTGGTTTGTTGGCCTTGGTCGCCATTGGCGGGCAACTCGAAGGCGCGAATGATTCAATTGTGTACAAGTTGGAAGAAGACGAAAGAATACGAATAAAGTACAATACATTCTTGTAAAACATTTGTTTATAGATCTGTATGAAATATCGAATTTAACTGCCGAACAATACAATTTTTTATTGGTCCTTGTGTTTTGGAGTTAAAGTCGATAATCGTACCTAGTATAATTATCGATTCGGAGCGTCTTCGCAAATAATAGGAACTTAGGGTTAAGTTCATTTGGCATATACTTTTGCGTAGAATACTAGTACCTTCATAGGCGATCAGATAACTTGCCTGCACAATCAGTTGTGCATGCTGGTAATGTAGATAAAATAGACTTTCGTTTTCATGACCGCATATACGCCTTAACATGCGTACTTCTACACCTTTAGTATTCACCTAAATTAGTGAATATTCTTTGTTCCACACTTCCCTGTGAATAAGACTGTCAAAATATTTTAATAAAAAATACTCAATGATCACGCCTCAATAATCGATATACATCTCAACCTTAGCAAAAATACACAAGCACACGGATAAGAATAAGGTGACTGAAAATAATTCAAGTGATAAGGTCATCATCATCGTGACGTTAGACCAAACAGCTACTTCCAAATAACTTGTGACATTATTTTATTCCTTCATCTTTACACATGTCGTCTGGATGCTCTGTCTGTCAAATTTCAACTAAGAAGCCATCACTCAAAGGCATTCTCCGATGACATCAACCACCTCAATCGATGGTTCTACAATATTCTCTACTGATAAATAGTTAAGTTATAGATGTCCAAACCAAATTCACTTTTAACGGTTTGAAAAAATTTGGGCATTGTGTATATGATATTCATTAAAATAAAGGTTTTTGTATTTCCTAATGAATGAAAAACAGGGGACGATATTGTTTTTACTGACGTTCCGCTATATAATGCTGCTAATAGCTTTATCAAAGTATTATTAGACCGGAATTTACAAAATCTCAGCATATATATATAACAAACAGTTAAGAGGTGAGAAAATAGACTTTGGTCAAGTTAAAGGGACATATTGAAATTAAAAATAGCAATGAAGACAACTAAACCAAATAACAAAGATAATAGTACGTCTGTTATGATATCAAAATAAAGTTTACTAACTTGATCATCGTTCGTCTGTCTGGGGGCATTTTTTTAGTTGTCAAGTTGGTCAATTGGTAAAGATAACAAAATCGAGTGTGGATTGTTGGATTTGATCAGTGTGTAAAATTATAAAAGTAGTGTGTGTTTACATAGTGAACCTGGTTATCACATTCGTGTTGCTTTTGTCACTTCATGGGGGAGGGGAGGGAGGTGTTGTAACCAGGTCAGATTCTGTTTTAGTCCATCATTTCTATTCAGGCAATTTTGATTCCACTTGATATGAAGTGCTTCCGATATTAGAGGTTCTTTGTGATTTCTGAAGTTTTTCTGGATTATTTCAGTATTGCCAAAATCAACTTTGTGGCCTGATTCTATAGCGTGTAGACCTATGGCTGATGATTTTTCAAGTTTTTGTAGTTCAACGGGATTTCTCGGTGGTCGAAGAGATGCTCTACGGTGTAAATTCCGGTTTAATAATACTCTGATATAGCTATTAGTAGCATTAAATAGCGAAACGTCAGTAAAAACAAGATCGTTTTGTTTTTCATTCATTGGGAAATACAAAAACCTTTATTATAATGGATAAATAGTTAAATGTGATCGTCGGGACGCCTTGTTAATTCCTCCCACACAAATGCCAGTAATTAGGGGAAACAAAAAGGCTACTGGAAGTTACGATGAGCAGTAGCTACTCAGTCAGAAAAATGGATAATCAAAGCCTAATTGGTAATTATGTGTTTCTATAAAAGTATCAGGTTTCTTATGCATTCCAGGCTTCAGACTCAAGCTATAAAATTTCAGTAGCAGTGGGTCGTTTTTTTTTTTTTAATTTACTGTGATGGGACTGCTAGCTTGAGACACAGCCTTCCTTCGTTTGTGGATTTACTACCGACCAGGAGATGTTAATGAGTTAGTCCAGCGGGTGTGAAACCTCGGACGATGTGCAGGGCTGTGAGAATTATACCGCTGAACCACCAACGCATAGAAATCTCAGATAGCCTTTACTATATTTGATTGCACACTAGTCAGTAACTAGTGTAATGTGTTTAGTCCTTTCTTCGCTGCAGACTGAATTCTATCAGTCAAGCTTGCAATGTGGCCACCATGCTAGGTGGCTCGCCATCACGATGCACTGTGAATTGTTGGTATTAGATGGTTGGAGGCAATCGGCAAAGGAAGCCTTGGACTTAGGTTTCGTGCTAGTTGTGGCCACATTGCAAGCTTGACTGATAGAATTCAGTCTGCACCAAAGATAGGACTAGACACATTACACTAGTTACTAACTAGTGTCCAATCAAAAATATCCAATACAGTCCTACAGGAGGTCAATCGCGAGCCTGAATAGCTCAGTGGTAACGTCTCTGACCGATGCAGCACTGGGTGATGCGGGTTCGAATCTCAGAAGGGACATGAGTTCCTTCAAGGCTTGCAGATACGCCTTGCTGATGAGTGCCAACTAGCACGAAACCTAGGACCAAGGCTTCCTGTGACCGATTGCCTCCAACCATCTAGTACCAACAAGTCTTTACTATTGTCAACGAAAATACGAAACAGATGACTCAAAGTGTGTAACTCACTTCTAAGTGTAGCCACTTAGAAGTTCATGATTGGACAATAAAAGCTGACCATAATATCTGACTACATAGACTTCAGAAAATGAAGCAATTTTTAAAGCATCTGGCTATGGTGAGAGCTGTCTGCTACCTAATATTGGTAGACAGTAATTTACGTCAATCTTTACGCCCCAAATCTTGGTCATGAGAAAAAAACCAAGAACAAAGACTAAATCAACGACCAATCACAGCAGACTAAGCGTGGGCGGATACGATTCGCAGATATATGGTCTGACCTTCAGAGAAACGCCAACAAACAGGTGACAGAATAACCTTGAGCAAGAAAATAACCAATCGGAAGACGTTGCTCCTCTGCTAACAATAACGAATAATAATAATGTACATAAAATCTATAAATATCTGTTGATTTTCTCAATAGACGATCTGTTGCCTGGTCCTTGTCTTCTGTCGTTACATGGCTATTCTTTGGTAACTGAGCAGCTAGGCACACACAATTTATTTTTTTATTTGTTCTTATTTTACTTCTTTAAGTCTTAAGTGGAACACAGGGGCTTTAAGCTAGAGTTTCAGCGGCAGTGATATTTACTTTTACGGGATGGGGTTTGCTGGCCTGTCTCACGCTCTTTCTTCCCTCTTTACCGGCCTTACTACCGACTAGGCGAAATTTGAAGGTGCATCGGCCGGGGATCGAACAGCGGACTGCATTCGTGGTTGGCCAGCATTCTATCGCTGAACCACCAACGTATCGAACACAGTTGAAAGTAAATTATTCTAGTGAGACATTTTTACCGCCGATCATAAAATATACTCAACCCATGGTGTGATGTGCAATTTTTTCAGTACTTTGTGATACGTCGATAAATGTAGCATAATGTCTAACCCACTCTAAAATATAAAACAAATTGGTACTTCTATTTCACAGGTTCTCATCGACTGCAGACTACCTGAAATTACAATCGTTATATATACATCATAATAACATACTTTAATGTTTGAGTGATAGTAGAGAAGAGACACTGTAAAACTGACGCATCCGAAATGTAACCATTACAATTTTTAGTTTAAGTTTTTACCATCAATTTACACGCTTTTAAAGTTGGAAAGAGGGAGGAGAGGTAAGACAGAAAACAGAAAAAATTAATTAACAGAACAATGTTTTCTGAACATATTCCAAGAAACCTGTGCCTGATAGGAAGCAAATATTCTCACAGTGCAATTACGAAATATATTACTGATACCGGACATCTCGTAGAGATTTCTAAGTCCCTCAAAATACTAAATAGACAAAGGACAGCAAATTTACAACGATTTGCCGAAGCGATCGCAATCAAACGATTCAAACCAACCAGACTTATGCACACAGAAAGAGAGTGTGATTAATCTCTCACTCCCTTGGTAACTGAATTTTGATTTTGATTACAATAATTAGTCATCTAATTCAGTGATCTCAACTCACTGAGCAAATCTCAATGTTAGAAACTGTAACCGCTTTTGTTTTTTGAGTTGCTATGTGAACCTACAAGCTAACACTGTTTGTTAATTTTTTCTGTTTTCTGTCTTACCCTTCCCCCCTCTTTTCTACTTTGAAAGTGTATAAATTGATGATGAAAACTTAAACTAAAAATTGTAATGCTTTCATTTTGGATGCGTCAATTTTATAGTATTTCTTCTCTACTACCACTTAAACATTAAAGTATGTTATTATCATCTATATATAACCATTGTAATTTCAGGTAGTCTGCAGCTGATGAGAACCTATGAAATAGAATGATTATATCACATTTTATACTGCAAATTTCGTCTTTCTTTCTTTATCGAAATTTATCATGGGAACCAAATGTATGAAATTGGTACTTACTAGAAATTGAATTCCACCTTGTAAAAACAAGAGGTTGTTTAATCGACGACGAAACCGTCGACTTTTCGTTGTCAGTTGAATGAATTTCATTTTCAGTCTTATCCAGTGCACAATCAATTTTAAGATCTGTCAACTTGAAAACACATGATCAAAAGCATACAGTAAAAGTGGAGTGAAAATTCAATTAGAATTATAAAATGAAACAAAAATTTCCTTGTCGCAGGTTTGCAAACTTTAATTTATATCGATTTGCATTTAATTGAGTTCATATTTTAAAAAATCAATATCATTTCTAGTACGGAGTAAGTTGTGCACCATCACATAGTAATATAAATTGTGCATGGCCAATACGAGTTGAAGACATGAAAAGGTTGGCTGTTTTTGATCACAGATGTCTACGATCTCTTACTCACGTTAGGTGGCATAATAAGGTAAGTAATGTTGACGTTAGGCGTAAAGTGTTGGGCAAAGAGGGAAAATCAATCGGAGAGGCTATAAAGTTACATAGATTGAGATGGCTAGGTCACGTGCTGTGCATGTCTAACCATCGCCTCCCCCGACGGACGGGCATTACTAGCTGATATAGGTGCAGGTTGGAAAAGAGTAAGTGGTGGCCAAACAAAAACATGGCCTCATCAATCCATGAAATCCCTGACAGTTAAACTGAGTCAGGTAGGGAGGGAGATGCAGACTTCCGGGTTGGGGCCCGCTCGGGACTCTAGGAATCAATGGCTGGAGACAATAGGTGACATGGCTCAAAATCGTTGTCAATGGCTTACGCAGATGTATTCAGTCTCTGTAATCTTTCATATTCCTTTCTACCATTACTCATTCTGTTTCACTCTTATACTTGTCAAAACTCTATTGATTCTCTTCACTCATTTGCTTGTCTACCTTTGTGTGCTATTTGGAACGTGGCAACTGCAATAACTGCAATTCGGTGCTAAGTTCTATGTTGAATCCAGACAGATAGAAATTGTGCATCCCTACTATAATTAAAGGTACTCAACATTACGTGATATTTTAAATATTTAAAGTGGAAATTTTGAGCATCAAACGTCAAGAAAATAAAAGTCAGTGTGTTTAATATTTCAAGCCTCGTATGCGATTCACCGTCCGAGAAGTCTTCAAGGTATGCAGGTTTTGCTAGATTGAAATTATCCAACAACAGACTTACATTTATGTAGCGCTCAAACATTATAAAGCGAGCGATACTTTTTCAGTTGAAGCCATCGAGTACACTCCTCATTGTTCCCATACATAGCACAAACTATGACCTCAAATGCTGATATTTTGATCATGAAATCTACTAGTGAATAGTTCAATTAGTGTAAATTAGTTTGAAGTCATGCAGATACTGGTTAAAATCAGTATTAATCAGTTTAGCAAATCAGAGTTTTATCTAATTGGTGGATGGTGACTAGCATTGGAATCAAGGATAACGCGCATTTCTTCCTTTTTAGGACTCGTCAACTAGCTGGATGTACCTGCATTCCACAGTGAGTGATGATCCTGTTCCCACCGGCCAGTGCCCAACACCGAGCACTTCAGTCCAATCAGTCGACGGGAAAATCTAAAAATTGAATTAAATAATTAATATGACCCGTTGCACAACGGGCAGTGGCTCTCTTGACCCAAGTGTTCCAGTGGATAACGCCTTAGCGTTGGAAACTATGGGCACTGGGTTCAAGCCTCGGTGGGAACATCATCACTCACTGCGGAGAACAGGTACATCGAGATGATGTGTCCTAAATTGGACGAAATGCGAATCCTGGATTCCACTGTTAGTCATCCACAAATTAACTTCTAATTACATGCCCAGAAATCGTCGAAGCATCTGCACAAGAAGCCGACATGTCAACCTGAGACTTGTTCATAACATTAGCTAGCGGACTAATGAAAACCAATAAAAACTGTTATCCAGAAAAGTTTAATGATAAGAAATCAAGGCAGCCCAAGGTATTAACAGTTCCTAAAAAGGCCTTATTCTTACAAATTCAGTTCCTCGGGGATAACATCAGCGAGATACTAACACAGTGCCTTAGAAATTCAGTAAAAAGGGCATTCCCTGCTGTTGAATTACGCTGTCTTCAAAAACACACCTATTTTGCGTTTAGCAGTAAAAGATAAACTGCCTAATTTCTCCTTTTCCCTGTGTATTTACCGGTTTGACTGCTCCTGTCAAGCCAGTTACATAGGTCGCACAATTAAGCGTGTTTCTCTGTGGATTTCCGAACATCATCCTGCGTGGTTAAGTAAAAGACAAACAAAATCCATTCACAGAGCTATTCTATCTCATCTTGTAGATACAGAACACAAGATTGATGTCAACGAGGCGGCTTTCAAAGTCATTTACCGCATACCAACTAATCTTAACTTCACCTTAAGAGTTCGTCTACTACATATTGCTGAGGCTGGCTGTTGGGATCCACATTAAGAAGCCTAACTTATGCATCCAAAAGAAGTTGGTTGGTTCAGACACTGTCCTTACCCCACTGGCTGTCAAGGTTCTTATAATCCTTAACTTTTTGTAGAAATTTCCTTAATTTTAATTGATATTCTATTTGCTATTATATTTTTATTATTATTATAATTTATGCATCTTTAATGAACTGTAATTCCATTGTGATCTTATTTAACAAATTGATATTATTTAAAAAACACTAATATTGTTATTGACTACTATTCTTGAATATTCTATGTATATGAATATATATATATATATATAATTGTAGAGCCAGAAGGGGAAATTATCGACAAGGATATTCTTTCTTCAATTATTTTGTATTTTATAGATGTCTGAATGAATATTTTCACTATAATTAATAGGCGTAAGTCCGTATACCTTACTCTCGATTGATTCCTAACAGTGAATATGGGCTTGATTGTTAAAACCTTTTTTTTAACTTTATTCCATTACATTCCGAGTGGAACATAGGGGGGGGCTTCAAGCTAATGCTTCAAGGTTCCGGTAGAAGTGGTTTTATTTTTACGTGGTGAGATTGCTAGCCTGTCTCACGACCAATCTTCCTTCTTTAGCGGCCTTAGCAAAGTTTAGGAGTGCGCCGGCCAAGGATCAAACCCCAGACCATGTGTGTTTTACCACGCACCCCTCGAGGTTCAAACCCAGGACCTTCTGGTCACAAGGCGGCCAGTCCTAGACCTATCAAACACTGGGAAAAAAGCCTTATCCACTAGGCCACGCAAATGTAGTGTCACCTAACAGTCAATAAATAAGTTAACCTCATCCACTGAGACCTATTCAAGTAAGACCTATTCAAGGCATTTTGTGGAATTCTGCATCAAAAACTGGAAAAGTCAGGCATACACACGCACACATACAGTTGTAGATCATATCTACTCTGGTTATTGTACAACGAATGTATACACACACTCACTTTTGAAGTTAGTGATTTCTCAGGTGAAGCTTCTAAATTATTCTTATGTACAACAGTACTATCATTATTATTAGCACCATCACTTTTATCCAATAACTTTTGTAACTGCCTGATTCTTGCCTCCAATAATCGATTATGGTCAAGTAAAGTTGTCAGACCGTATAAATAGTCAGAGACATGATTCTCTCGTTGACCATCATGCTTAGGTAAACGCCATTCCCATCGTAAATACAGATCACGCCATAAACTGTTGAGATACAAAGAGCAACAAAAAAACAGAAAGAAAGAAAAGAAAATCAAAGAAACAGCACGGATAAAAGTATGAAAAAGTTTAATTTAAGGCGTTAACAATACCGAATTATTTAGGCGTGTAACAATTTAGTTAGTTTTTCCAGTATTCATTTGTAGGGGTTTAGTTTGATTGGATGGAGGATTTCATCATGAGCTGACATCAGTTAGAGAACCATTGGGAAACCAGCCGGAAGCACTGGAAAGCTGAGAAATGGTCGCGCTATGTCGTGAATTGGCAGAAGTTAGAATTCATGGGCTGGCCATTGGATCGGGTCCCAGTGGCTCAATGGTCTACGAGCTCTCTAGCCTTGTAACCAGAAGGTCGTGGATTCGAACCCTGTCGGTGGATGCGTACTGTTGAAGAGTCCCAAACTAGGCAGACGAAACAGCCGTCCAGTACTCCCAGCTGGTTTTACAATGGTGGGTGCCTTGCGCTGCGGGTTGGCCACCCCTCCGCACACCTCTTGAAATGCTCCCATATGACCGGGCGTCTTACATAGCCTCTCCTGAGGAAGTCCTACTCACTGCCTTCACGTGGCGGAGGTGTTTTTCACCAAAGTGAGAGGGCGAAAGCGGATGCCCGGCGCTCTTCACCGGGTTGACTGTCCATTGGATGACAGTCTAGGGGAGATGGCTAAACCCTGATTCCAAACCTCCAACGACTGGCGTATGAAGCTCACTGGAGCTCACCGGCAGACGTATGAACAAAGGGCTTGTTGGATGTCCTGGATGTCTGGCCCCATTCAAAAAGGCGTATGAACCGAACTCCGGTCACCGGCTGCCAATGGATAGTGGACTCCCTACTCCACTCCTACTGCCTTGTAGGTCACACTTGGTTGTGTGAAGGCTAGAGCTGCACTCTCAAACAAAAGGCCGAGCGATTCTGGGGATATCACTCGTACCAAATTCCCATGAAACTCCATGAACTCTCCCACGGACTCCGTCTGTGGAACAAGAATTGGATAACCCTGTCGCAAAACCTTGCATCAGATCGCCGCGCCTGGGCAGCGATGATTCGAGATGTTCATGAAGCCGGCTCATCCTCCCGTAGGAGATAGCCGAAGTAAAGTAAGTAAGTAAGGTTCTCTAACTGATGTTATCTCATGATGAAATCCTCCATCCCATTTAGTTTATGCTTAGATGACGTTTCAGTAATAATTTAAACAACACAATGTTGGCGTGTCCAAGTAACATTGATGAATACTTATAAATTGAGGAGATGGTATTTCGTCATAACTAAGTTTTAGAAGATACTTCAAAAAAGAACATCCGCATAAACAACCTGGCACTGCTAAGGGTGGATAGAATTTGATCCTCCTCTTGAAATGCCACCATCATGTGGCCACACATTCATACTCTCTGCCAAGTATATCGTAATCACAGCCATCATACAGCAGGTATGTTTCTCACAAGAGAGAAAGGGAGAATGTGAACGTCTGTTCCTTACAACCGGACTGGTGAACTCTCAGTGCACAAGTTCTCTTCTTATAACAGCGGACTGGTGGGCATTTATGTCTTTCTTTTATGTGGTTGTGTTCTCTGAGCTGGATGATAGTTTCACTTGTGAAGCTTTCATTGACCTCTACTAGGCAACATCTTCAGCACACACTTCAATTTGTTTAAGTGAGCTTTGAGATTTCTCCACGAGTTTATTAGTCTTCTCTCCTAGTGGGTGGTGAACTTGAACCTCGTGATTGGTTGTCTTTGTGTGCTTCCACACCCTCTAGGCTGCTACTTTTATTGGAACTGGTTGTTTCTTTGACTTGAACTTTGCCCCTTTGTGTGTGAGGTTTCCTTCTTATCGGTTGGTAAATTTTGTCTATCCCGATGTGTCTATTGATTAATGATTCACTGGAATACCAGGCAGGCTTCTACAAATTCCCTAGCATTCTTGGTGTTTCCTCTGTCTAATAATAACACAGCCCATGAATTCTAACTTCTGCTAATTGACAACATAGGGCGACGACTTCGAAATGTCTTCTTTGACGAGTTACCCGCCTCAGCTTCTGTTATAAACTCGTTGCCAATATGTTATGGTGTCGTTGCTAATGTTACTGTGTGACCGAGTGTAAATATGCGCTAATGAGATATAACGGACAACAACGCACAGACCAGTACTGCTGAGTAGTTAATTTGTCCTGACGAGAAGAGGCAAATCAGAAGACCACCACGTTCACGAAGATACGTGTATTCTCCCACAAGGAAAATTAACTATCACACGAGTGTGAGTGGAAAAGTATGAAAGTACAAAAGAGTGTGAATTACCTGTACATACAATACAAGAGTATATAGGAAAGAACTAACACACATGAACCAATGAGATAGACAGTAGTTTTTCTTTACCACCACTGGATTCTGATTGGTTGTAATGTTATGTGACAAGGGTCATACATTGTTTATTTAGTTAATGGACAGACAAGATATATTGTGAGGTATAATGGAATAACGATCAATCTACACATGGCAAAATATACCAGACTGTCAAAACAAAGCAGACATCATGTTACTACTTATCGCCATCAACCTGCTTTGCACTACTGGTCACGGTTTCCCGCTATATCGTGAGTTGGCAGAAGTGAGAATTCATGGGCTGACCATTGAGTCGACTCTCAATGGTGGTTGAATGGTATATGAGCTAGCTTGCCTCGTAATCAGAAGGTCCTGGGTTCGGACCCTGGCAGTGATTGCGTACTACCGACGATTCCCAATCTAGGATGAAACAGCTGTCCAGTACTCCCAGCTGGTTTTCCAATGGTTCTCTAACTGATGTCAGCTGATGAAGAAATCCTCCAACCAATCAAACAAAATCCTTACAAAATCAGTACTTTAGAAGCCAATCGGTGGATGGTAACCAGCAGTGGAATCCATGAATTTCGTATTGTTCGGGACTCTTCACCCGGACGTACATGCGATTCACAGTGAGTGATGGAGTTTCCACCCTCGAAGCATCCACACAAGGAGCCGACATTTCAACCTGAGACTGAGCATTTCGGTTCAATCAATCAACGGGAAAATCTAAAATTGAATGAAACAATTTGACCAGAAGTTAAATGTTTTTAGGAGATCATGAACACATGGGATACATAAGTAACCTTCATAGCGAGACATCTTAAACAGCCTCTCCACGACTGAAGAAGAAGAAGGTAACATTCCTACTTAAAGTTGAAACTCAAACTAATAAATTCATGTACATGACTTGAATGTACAAAAAGTAGGAAAAAAGACACTTACCGAAACAATGGTGCATATAATACATGTGCTGGAAGCATATCTGCTGCATATCGACTATTGCCTTTACCATCGTCAAGAAGTTCAATTCCAGAGGTGATTAAATCATCTGTTTCAAAATACGTATCTTTTTCTAGATCGAAACTACTCCCAATAGAAAAATTTGTCCATACTGAATTGTGTTCATAGAAGGGATTAATCCATTTATCACGGTAGTGATTTAAGTAAGCCCAGAGAGAGTAAGTACGCTCACGAACTCTAAGACAGAAAAAAGAAATGATAGGCATACACATACAATGATGCTGCTAATGTCCGGTCTTCAACTATGCTAAAAAATTTTAAAAATAAACAAGACTAGCCTACTCTGAAGCAAAAGTTAACCTCAATTGACGAAATCGTAGTGTATATTCGCAGGTTAGGTGAAATGTGTTCCAAACATTGTGTGAAATAACAACAGTTTCTGCGTTTACAGCCTTATATGGGGAAGTCATTTCCGTTGAAAAATGTTTTCTTAGAAAAATGTAAAATGAAACTTCTATATAGCAAGTCAGTAAATTCGACATTGTGGATATTTTGCCATTATTTAAGGTCAATACAAAATCGTAAAGTGCCTTGTTTACTCATTAATATAGCAAAAATATTCATTCAGACATCTTTAAAACACAAAATAATCGACTAAAGAATATTCTTTTCGATAAATTCCTCTTCCAGGCTCTACAATTATATATATGTTTATATACATAGAATATTTTAAATCAGTAGTTAATAACAATATTAGCGCTTTTTTTAAATAATATCGATTTGTAAAGTAAGATCAATGGAATTGCAGTTCACTTAAAGATGCTTAAATTATAATAATAATAATAATAATATAAGGATAACGTCTGACATTATCCTTACCTTGGCCATCTGGGTTTGAATAATCCTCAATTTTCGTAGAAATTCCCTTAATTTTAGTTGATATTCTATTTGCTATTATATTATTATTGTTATTATAATTTAAGCATCTTTAGTGAACTGTAATTGCATAGATCTTACTTAACAAAGAGATGTTATTTAAAAAACACTAATATTGTTATTAACTACTAATGTAGAATACTCCATGTATATAAACATATGTAAATAATTGTGGAGTCAGAAGAGGAATCTATCGAAAAGAATATTCTTTGCTCGATTATTCTGTACTCATTATTAGTTGTTCCGTTGACTTCAGTTTGTAATGCACAGCGATCCCCACCTTTTATTTATTTAAAAAGCATATACTTTGTACACTGTAAGTGAAGTGATGGTATATAACTATGCATAACCACTGTCTTCAACCATCAGTATGGTTAGACAGGGTTGCCTAGTCTCATCATTTTTCGATATAGGAAAGGAAGACGAAATTTCTGGTATAAAATGATATCACCATTCTATTTCACAGGTTCCCATCAGCAGCGGACTACCTGAAATTACAGTGGTTATATAGATGATAATAACATACTTTAATGTCTAAGTGGTAGTAGAGAAGAAATACTATAAAATTGACGCATCCAAAATGTGTGCATTACGAAGTGACCTCCTTGTTTACAAACGTTACCACTGATGGAAACGATTGACATCATTTGTCAACAAACGGATCTACTACCACTACCTGAAAAAGAGATGAGGTAACTACTGCTGGTTTGCACAAAAGATATACAATTTAAATTTAACAACTAACTTTACCGATTAATTTATGGGGTCGCGATAGGTTCACCTCTGGGACCTATTCTGACTGATAGCTTCATGGGCTACCTCAAACAGATATAAATGATTTCTGCTATCAATGGAACGACCTACTATCGCCGATATGTTGATGATACTACATTTGTTGTTTGCAACGACATGGATCACACATCGCCACTGTATGATTGCCTCAATATCAAATTCACCATGGAATATGAACAAAATAATGAGTTCAATTTCCTAAATCTAAATTTAGAAAGAACAAACGATCGAAAAGTTCATGTACAGAAAAGAAATCTGGACTGGACAATATCTTCACTATAACAGCTTTTGTCCCATAAGCTATAAATGTGGATTAGTGAGAACTTTGTACGACAGAGTCAGGAAGCCATGTTCACCGAACAAAGTGGAAGAAGAATTAGGTTTCGTTGAGAAATGCCTAAAAGAAAATGGATACCCTAAGGGATTTATACATAAGTATAGCAAAGAGAAAGATAAGAAAGAAAAATACCCAACCGTAGAAAAGAAGAAAGTGTTTATTTGTCTCCCATTCAAAGGAGATGCAGCGTCACAAAAGCTTGACAAGAGAATGAAAGGAGCAATAAAAAGAAACTTCCCTGAAACTGAACTTATATCATTATACAGCACTACTTCTTCCATAAGCTTCTTTAAACCCGGTAAGTACCCTACTGATGTCATCTCCAACTGCGTTTATGAATTTACGTGCACTTGCGGGAGCAAGTACATTGGAAGGACAGAAAGAAGGTGTCTACCCGGTTTCCTGAACATATTCCAAGAAACTTGTGCCTGAAAGGAAGCAAATATTCTCAGAGTGCAATTACCAGACATATTGTTGATACCGGACATCTCGTAGAGATTTCTAATTCTTTCAAAATATTAAATAGACAAAGGACAGTAAATTTACTACGATTTGCCGAAGCGATCGCAATCAAACGATTCAAACCAGACTTATGAATACGGAAAGAGATTGTGATTAATCTCTCACTACTTTCGTAATTGGATTTTGATTTTGATCGCATTAATTAGTCATCGAATTCAGTGATCTCAACTCACTGAACAAATCTCAATCTCATAAACTGTAACCGTTTTTTTGCTTATTTTGAGTTGCTATGTGAACCTACAAGCCAACACTGTTTATTAATTTTTTCTATTTTCTGTCTTACCCCTCCCTGTTCCTCTCTTTTCTACTTTGAAAGCGTATAAATTGATGATGAAAACTTAAGCTGAAAATTGTAATGCTTTCATTTTGGATGCGTCAATTTTATAGTATTTCTTCTCTACTACCACTTAGACATTAAAGTATGTTATTATCATCTATATATAACCATTGTAATTTCAGGTGGTGTGCGGCTGATGAGAACCTGTGAAACAGAATGATGATATCACTTTATACTGCGAATTTCGTCTTCCTTCATTTATCGAAATTTATCTAGGGAACCAAATCTATGAAGTTTTTGAAAAAAAAACTCACCATTTTTCTTCAGCCTTGCCATCGATGATATCCTGAATAAAGCAAGTGCATAGCAGCGACGTATATTTGTTGTCTATAGGGAACACTTTTCAAGCTGGAGTATGCAGACGATATCGTCTCATTGTACGACAAAATACAAACTACCCAAATCGCACTTAATCAATTAGCGGTTAGGCATGTTCTGTTGATCTTATGAAGTGCGAAGTACTATTAAAAGACTGATAGGAGTCTATACCTGTATTCACCTTTGCGAGTGAGCCTTCTAAACACCTTGAGCAGCAATCTTCGTATGTTTGGCATGCGATTCACCCCTGTAAAATGTAAGATGCTACTACAGGACTAGACTACGTCTATGCCTAGCTTAGTGATAGGGAGTAAAGTGATAGAACATGTTAACCACTTCACCTATTTGGGAAGTTGTATCAGCACCAACGGATTGATTGGTGACGAAATCTCAGCACGGATCCAAAAACCTCTGGCTGCTTTCGCTAACTTACACCATCTCTGGCGCAGGCGTGACAACCAAGGGACGTGTGTACTGCTCAGCAGTTCGCTCCGTCCTTCTCTAGGGCTCTGAAACATGGCCAATACGAGTTGAAGACATGAAAAGGTTGACTGTTTTTGATCATAGATGTCTACGATCTCTTTCTCACGTTAGGTGGTACAATACGGTAAGTAATGTTGACGTCAGGAGTAGAGTGTTGGGCAAAGAGGGAAAATCAATCGAAGAGGCTATAAAGTTACATAGATTGAGATGGCTAGGTCACGTGCTACGCATGTCTAACCATCGCCTCCCCCGACGGACGGGCATTACTAGCTGATATAGGTGCAGGTTGGAAAAGAGTAAGTGGTGACCAAACAAAAACATGGCCTCATCAATCCATGAAATCCCTGACAGTTAAACTGAGTCAGGTAGGGAGATGCAGACTTCCTTGTTGGGGCCCTCGGGACTCTAAGAATCAATGGCTGGAGACAATAGGTGACATGGCTCAAAATCGTTGTCAATGGTGCAGATGTATTCAGTCTTTGTAATCTTTCATATTCCTTTCTACCATTACTCATTCTGTTTCACTCTTATACTTGTCAAGACTCTATTGATTCCCTTCACTCATTTTCTTGTCTACCTTTGTGTGCTATTTGGAACGTGGCAACTCGAACTACTGCACTTCGGTGCCAAGTTCTATGTTGAATCCAGACATACAGACCTTTCCGAGGGAACCGTTAAAAGTAGTCGATAAGTCGGTGTATTTAGGTAGTTGTGTAAATGCTGACTAATGAAATACCACTGCTTGCTAACCCTGGAACTGTTTGTAAAAAGTCAAGAGTTGGTCAGATGACGACATGTTGCTGTAGGATAAAAGATAATTATGTTAGCAAATCACGACTTCTCTGGGCCGGGTCAAAGAGATCACGCATTTCAGTAGTTCCAGAATATTAACAGATATAGCTTAAATTCGAAATCAATGAAGAGCACGCCACCACCTCCTCCTTTGTTCTCTTTCTGAAAGCAATACGAGATAGTGAGAGGTATTTTGAATATAATTGAGAAATGTGCTTAAATGTATTTGTTTCAACTCCACACTCTAACAAGACTGACTGACTGCTTTCAACGTAAAACTCTGCACAGATGTGCAGCAGTTCGAGTTGCCACACTCCTTCCATGTAGCACACAAAGCAAGAGAAGAGAGTACACAGAGATTCAAAAGAAAGATAATAAACAGAAATATGAGGCGAAAAGAATAGTAATATGGAAGAGTAATAGAATTTTATTGTGCATTATAAATCACAAAGAGTGAATGCATCTCCGCCAGCCATTGAGAATGATTTTGAGCCATATCACCAAACGTCTCCAGCCGCCTTCATTGGTTTTTACTATCCCGAAGAACTCAACCAGACACTAGTCTACACCTCCCTACGTGGCTGGCTGGCTAAAACTAACTGTTGTGGATTTCATTGACTGATGAAACCATATTTTTCTTTCTCAACCTGATCCATTCTATGTCAGTCAGCTAACATTGCCCGTCAGTCGAGGAAGGCGATAGCTAGGCATAAGTAATACATGTCCTAACCATCTCGATCGGTGTAACTTCAAAACCTTATCGATAGAATTTCCTAACTTACCTTGTACTTGAGAGGCCTAACCTCCATATTACTCAGCACCTCACACGGGAGGTAGAACACAGACACTTATGGACAAAAACAGCTAGCCTTTTCGTATCTTCCACTTTCGATGGCCATTTGTCACAGCCAGCTATAAAGGAGGATGTAGTGAACTGATGAGCAGTACATACGGCATTTGGTCAACAACCGGATATCACGTACACGGCAGAGACGACGGTTGTTGGCATATGAGAAATGAGCCTGCTGTATCCGTGCTGATATTTCGTCAGTGATCAACGCGTTGGGGCTGATGCAACTAACGAGGCAAAAGCAATGATAACATACTGTCTTACAAGTTTCATTAATTGAAGACACCTGTAACCTATTCATGTATAGCAAGACAGGAGATAGAATGTAGGCCTTTATCGCACTTTCAACTCTTGATACTACCTCAGGGAATATTTTGACATTCATGAGACATTTTCAGCTAGATGAAATAGCTAATAAACAGAAGTGCAAATTGTTTCAAAAAGTAAATATGCTTCAAAGGATGGCAGTTGCGTGTAAAGCCCTAAATATTTCCCCATACATGATCTACGTCAAACATTCATGTAACCAAACACAAACAAACGCAAGCACGTGGAAATATGCAGAAAATACGCTAAAGACAATAAGCTGCCAGTTATCTCAAGCTCAATACGGTTATATATGTGTACCCTTGAAGCAAATTATTTAGAGGATTTCTATATCTTGGAGAAGATTTGTAGCTCAGGTGGATGATTTTGATGTAGTTATGTTCTCTGAGCTGCATGATGGCTTGCTTGTGAAGCTCCCATTGCCTTACTAGGCAGCACATTTCAATTTGAAGTATGCGCTGAAGATGTTGCCTAGTAACGCAATAAAAGCTTCACAAGTAAACTATCATCCAGCTGAAAGAACACGATCACACCGAAATATTTAGAGGATTTCTTCCCATAAAAACAAAGATGGACAGATGACAAAATAAATTTTGTTTTAAAACCAGTTATCATCAAATCGATGATATCAAAACTTACCTAAGATTTATTCTGTCCTTTTCGTTACATCCAATAAATGTTCCATAAACTGCTGAGTAGACTTGATCGTGTAAAAATTGTAACAGCTTAACATTATACTCAAATTTACTTGGACATATCTCCAGTAAATGTCGAAGACAGTCAAGAAATTGAGTGAAAATCGGCGATACTTCACGTGGATCAACATCAGATTCTAAACCACATCTTTCAGTGAATTTATAACCGAACTGGATCCATTCTTTTTCAATCAGTGCCTTTAAGAATATATACACATATAAATATTTTAAGTTAGAGTAGGACGGGGAAAAATTAAAGTGTGCAAATCAAAAATTATGCGAATAAGCAAAGCAAAAATGGAATTGTAATCTCTCACTTGGTGCGTCGGTGGCATAGTGGTTAGGACGCTCGCCGACCATGCACATGGTCCGGGGTTCGATCCCCGGCCGACGCACTCCTTTACCTCGCTAAGCCAGAAATAATGCTGGTGAAGAAGAAAGGGTGGGCATGAGGCTAGCAACCCCATCCTGTATAATAAACACTGCTACAGAAACTAGCCACTAGCTTGAAGCCCTATGTTCCACTGGGGAACGTGAAGGAAAAAAATCTCTCACTTCCCACACTTACCAGACATCACATCGCTGTCATTATTGCTGTACGAAGGAGTATCCTTCATGCGTCGGTGACTGATTGGTAAAATGCCAACCAGTCATGCGGGAGGTAAGGGGTTCGAATATCAGCCGATGCACCCCCAAACCTTACCTAGTCGGCAGTCAGCCCTGAAAAGACTGGAGGTTGGGTGTCAGGCTATCAACCCCAGGTCATAAAGGCACCACCTCCTCTATTGAAACTTCAACGCTTGAAGCCCTATCCTCCTACTCGGAATGCAGGGAGTACGAAAAATATTGAAAACATAGCAAATTATACACCAGCGTTATGGCAAAGCTCTTTCTGTTTCTGTTACTTAAGTAAAATGTGAGTCTGTAACAAGTGGCTGGCAAAGATAAAAGTGGATTCTTTGCCTTCGGAAGATTGCTACACCAAAAGAGTCAATGTGTCGTCATACTTGGAAATTGTTATTGTTACTATACCGTCTTAGTTATCGTGTTCCAGTAGAGGCTTAACGTTAATACAACGCTTTAAACAAGCATCATTGTTCCGAAAAATACTGGGCAAAGTTAAACTATTATAATGACAGAAGACAAGGGCCAGACAACAGATCGTTTATTGGGAAAATCAACAGATATTTATATATTTTTATGTACATTATTATTCGTTATTATTAGCAGGGAAACAGTGTCTTCTGATTGGCTATTTTCTCGCTGAAAGTTATTCTGTCATCTCTTTGTTACCATTTCTTTGAAGGTCAGACCATAAATCTGCGAATCGTACCCACCCACGCAAAGTCTGCTGTGGCTGGTTGTTGAGTTAGTCTTTGTTCTTGTTTTATTTCTTATGACCAAGATTTGGGAGGTAAACATTGACGTAAATTGCTGTCTACCAATTTTGGCTAGCAGACAGCACTCACCGCACTATAACAATCTATGGAATGCGAACGCACAAATGACTTTGAGCTGACCAATCAGAGAAACCAGTGGTTCTTACATAAAAATAACGTTTACGTACAACAGAAATGCATGAAAATACATTAAACAGGATATTTTTCCCTGATATTCGGCTATGAAATTCACATGCGAAGAGGAATCCCAAGACAGAATTGCCTTCCTAGATGTCCTACTTACAAGAAAACCAGACGGTAGGATAAAAAGAAATTTACGTAGAAAAAGTACTTGGACGGGACAATATATACACTTTCACAGCTTCGTTCCCATCAATTACCAAAGGAATTTAGTGAAAACCCTTAGCCACAGAGTTAGAGCTATAGGCTCTGAAGAAGTAATTAAAGACGAATTAAGCATGGCATATGATACTTTAATCGAAAATGGTCATCCTGACAAATTTATCAAGAAACACATGACAAAGAAAGCCGAAGAGGACTGCCCACTATCTGTAAAAAAGAAGCCACTTTATATACGACTACAATTCATGGGCGATATACCAAGCGAGTTAATTATAAAGAAATTAAGAAAATCAGTTCAAAGAACTTATAATGCTGGCGAACTACACGTATTATTCTCTACACGACCGATGGTGCTACCTAAACTGAAAGATGAAGTACTTAGACTAGCCACTTCAAACTGTATCTATCAATTCAACTGCGCCTGTGGAGCGAGTTATATTGGCCATTGCTCTAGGAAATTGATTTTTCGTGCTCGAGAACATATCCCACTATGGTTAAGTAAAGGTGTAGTTAAAACTATTAACAGCTCGATATTAGACCATCTGGTGCAAACCGGTCACAAAGCCAGCGTAGAAGAATCCCTTTCTATAATATACCGGGTGCCTAACAAACTACCAAAATCGTCGAAGTACCGCATGCTCCAAACAGCAGAGGCTATTACAATTCGCCTGAAACAACCAGTGCTTTGTGTCCAAAAGAAACAAGTCCAACCCCTACTACTGTCCTGGCCCTCAGTAGAGACTGTAAACTCATGAGTTTGTAATATTATCTTTCCTAATTCTCCTGACATTCAGCTTATTTTATGTTGATGCTGTTCAGCTGTAATCTATCAATATTATTGATTCGATGTTATTTAAACAACATTAATGTTGTTCATGACACTAATTCATTCATTCATTATAATGTATATATGATTTTAGAACCTGATGATGAATTTATCGAAAAGAGTACTCTTTGTGCCGGGTCTATTCTTTTGAAAATTTTAATGGGCATTTTCAATCAGTTAAAAATATCTCCCAATTATAATGTGAGGTGTCTCGGTTTTTAAATTAAACCAATTTCTATGCATGTGTGTCCTAGGGCGACCACGGTTGTATTTCTTCTTTTTCAGAAGCGTTTCACCGATGTGAACAATAACATCAACTACTCCCAACAGTTGTGTGACGGTATTCATCTTCCAGGACGCTATATCTCTGAAATGGTGGAACTATTACACGCTAAACACTAATGAATTCTCCGTCTGTACAGTCGTTGATTTCACCCCAGTCTTTAACATCCAATGATGGCTGATGAAAAGGATATTTTTCGACTACAGTTTCGATTTAGAAAAGAAAGTTCCAAAAAAAAAAATGAACTGAATATTACCATTACGAACACTAAATCGTTTCCTACATTGTGTACACCAAAATACAGGTCCATCACCTGTTTCTGAACACCCATAGATATACATGGAAGGAGTAAAAGGCATTTATAGCGATGTAGTATCAACCCATTATCTCGAAAGAGGTGGTCATATAAAATTTCATTCAGTTAACCAATAAAGAGTATTTGTAGATCTCAAGGCTTAAAACGAGAGCTATCGAGATGGACAAGTTAGAGTTCAACCTTCCGAGTAGGTAGGAGTGAATGCTATCAATCGTTTCCGTAACACCTACAAACTTGGTAAATTATTGGAGTGCAACATTTTGACCGTAGGGTTTATTTACCTCATCAATTTGAGTTCAAATAAAAATTGCAAACAGTTGTTGAATTCGATTCCGACTTCCCCGTTGATTGACTGAGCCGAAGTATTCAGCCTCTGTTGACATGTCGGCTCCTTGTGTGGGTATTTCGACGATGTCTAAGGATTCACCTTCAAGTAATTTGGTGGATGGTGACTAGCAGTGGAATCCAGGACAATGCGCATTTCGTCCTATGTGGGACTCGTCATCTGGATGTACTTGCATTCCCTAGTGAGTCATGATGATGCCACTGAGGCTCGAACCAACTACCCATCATTTCAAACGCCAAAACGTGATCCACTAGACCACCTGCATCAAGAGAACCACCTCTTGTGCAACGGGTATCAGTTATTATCATTTAATTCAATCTCAGACTTTTCGGTTTGATCCTTTTCTTGCGCACTTATCTTCAGTAATAAATTCATTTAACAATGCAACAAACTGTGCATATAAACATACTTGTAATCCTATAAATGTTCGATAATACGGATCCAGAATAATTTGTGCTAGGGCGCAAACTTGAGCTGTACGATCCCAACCATCGGAACAGTGAACCAGTACTGAGTTGCCTTCATCCAATCGTTTAGCTACAAAATAGGCTGCTTCCAAAATTGCACGTAAGTGTTTAAGCCAACCAGATTTATCCAAACCCGATGTGAAGTTTTCCAGTGTTATTGCAGGACTGCAACAAACTAGAATGTATAAATAGAAATTAACCGCTTTACTAACAGACTAGAAATAGATTATACTTATATTATATTTTAAGTGTTTTTTAACTAAATATCAATAAATTTTACGTAAAATTCAATGACATGCTTTTTCCTCTTATGTCTTCAGTTAATTTTGACAGATGGTCAAGGACACAAGTGAACAAGAACTTAACTACTACTAAATATCAGTAGGAAAAACAGATTGAACAAGAAAATCGGGGGACCGATATATTATAAAGATTATTTACTGTATTATTACTCCCATGGGTTCCGAGTGGAACATAGGGCTTCAACAACACATCTGCACTTTGTTTTATTTTCTGCCGTCCTCTTCAGCTGGATCCACAGTTGGCCATAATCTCTCATCGCCTCCTCGCCACACGATCTCCTCCATGTCGCCCTAGCACTGATGACCCATTCATCACTTCCCATTGGGATTCTACTCGAGCAATGGGCTGGCATGCGATGACATTTGACGGTCTCCTCAGAGTGTGTCCGATTCATCGCCATTTTCTCTCATATATTTGTTGAGCAATCGGCTCTTGATTGGTTCGTTCCCGGAGTTTCTTGTTACTAATTCTTTCCGATCGGACATCCCATCAACAGTTTGGAGCGAAGCAGTAAAGGTGGCAGCTGTTGATAAAGGTCTGTAACTTGTTGGAAATCCTTTTTGTGACAGACTCGCCGATTTTCTGACTCGTATGGAAGCACTGACTGACTGACTTTACATTTGTGTTGAAAATCCGAATCTTGTTGTTTATGCTGGTTGGCTGAGTACCGAAGATTTCCAAACTGAATTCAGAGTGATGACGGTTTGTCTTGTCTTTGCGATTCTGGCTGCTGTTAACACCTTCAACCGTCCCGTCTGTAGTTGAAACCGTGCTTCCTAGACAATTGAAGGAATTAACCTCTGTCAATCTCTTTCTCCCATTGGTGGTGATTGGTGCTGGTTGTTGTTGCTGTCGGCTGGTTATCTTCATCACTTCTACCTTCTCCATGTTCACCTGGAGTCCTGTCTTCGTTATCAGCCCCACCTCTTCTGCTAGTTTGTTGGTTTTCGTCTGCCTGCAATTCTTCGAGTTTGTGACATTAGGCATATATCATCTACAAAATCCAGATCTTCTAGAGCCCTCTTATTGGTCCAGTGTGTTCCTGTTATCTCACTCCTCACAGTCTGACACATAATCCAGTCCACCACCATTCAGAATATCATCGGTGATAAGAGGCAGCAAACTTGTCTTATTCCTGTATTCACGTCAAGCGCCTCGCTGAGTTTTCCGTTGTGGATCACCTGACACGTATCATTGTCATATAGCCCCAGCTGTTGAATGAGGTTGGTAGAGACCTGGACATTGCACGCCGTAGTGTTGAAGTAGTTTCCAAATTACTTCTCGATCAATGCTGTCTGTCGAAGGCCTTTTCGAAGTCGACGAAGTTAAGGTACATGTTTGACTGCCGTATATTATACAGATAGGCTATAACAACCCTTCAAACGTATATCAAAAGCCCACTAGCCAGAATTCCCCCCCTCCCTGTGATAAGAGTTTAAGCACCGACACTAATACTCATATCTCTATGAAATCATAACCAAAAACCAATATAATAAATACTGTCGGCTGAATAAATTCCTTATCATAGTATTGTTAAAATGTGATTACAAATAGAATTATATAGCAGTTGGTTAGTAATCGTACTGCTGTGGCTGTGATGGAGCTGGAGAGGCACATCTGTGTTGAGAGATGATAATAGATAGAATGAGACTGCAAGACTCCTTCTTTGCTGGAAAAGACTGTCTTCTCCAATAGACATTAGTTACTTCCTAAATGTTGGGGAAAGCGGATAGTGATCAGATTAAATAGTGGTACCAATCCAGGAACTCATCGTCTGTGAATGTGAAACATGTCTGAGAGTTTACAGTTGAGAAACATCAGACCACCAGAATCTATGGTCGGAGACTTGAAATTGATCAAATTGATGCAGACGCGTTTATATATCATCCTATGGCATTCAACGACTTTTGATTATATCCCTTTCCTTATTTTGTCTTCCTCAGTTGTTACCTTCGAACTTGGTGTATACCTGTGAAGTGTGGCGAATTGCCCTGTTATGTAGTAATGCCTGACCCTACATTGATAATTGTTGCATGTCTATCATTCACCAACTCAGTATATCACAACAGACCTAGAGAATTCACCCTCCCACAGAGTTGTTCGCTGGCTAGCCGAAAAGTTGGCACCCGTTCGACAACGGCTGGCTAAGCATACCGTGAAGGACTCGTTCCAATTCGTTGAAAAGGTGAACCAAATTAAGGTGTGTAATGAATTTATAGTCTCCTTCGAAGTGCCCCTGTGTTCATACTGGTTCCGCTTCATAAAACTTTAGACATCATCAGTCAACACGCTTATCTCCTGCGTTTACCGACACGTGAATTTGAGCAACTTTTTTCATTATGCGCCATGAATACACAGTTACAGTTTAACAACAAAATGTGTTGCCAAATTGATGGAGTGGTAATGGGTAGTCCATTAGGGCCTGTATTGACACATATTTTAATGGATAGTCTTGAACATACAAAACTTAAGTATGCAATCGATAAAACAATGATCTACAATAGATACTTAGACGACACATTCATTGTATGCAATCGTCTGAGTCACGCATCGTATCTGCTTGCGTTATTTAACAATTTAAATGAAAGCATCACTTTCACAATGGTGGGAGTTTCAAATTCCTAGATATCGACTTGAAGAGAAGAACAATCAGACAACTGGAAGATTGATTTGTCGCAACGAGACTTTGAGTGGTCTCTACAACAGATTCTGTCGAGTTAGCCATAAACGCACACTGGTGAAGATGCGGTTCTGTGGGATAGAACGAATATGTTTATAAGATAAACTCATGTTAATTGAGAAACGCCTGAAAGAAAACGGCTACCAGCAAAATGTCTCCTCAAAAAATTCTGCAAGGAGGAATGCAAAAATCCAGGAAATATTTACAATCAACAAGCAACTGATAAGTAGACATTTAAGTACAGCACTGGTCAAAATGTATCCGGCAGCGAAACTTGTCTCTTTACACCAATCATCCTGCTCGTTGGTACAGTCAAAATTCGACAAGCACTCCTCATATATTACCTCCAACTGTGTATATCAATTCACGTGTAACTGTAGGAGTAGTTACATTAGGAAAATAGAAAGAAAGGCCTATGTCAGAATCTTTGAACATGTATCAAAGAGGGGATCGAATAGTTTAAACTCGTTAATTGCCAAACACCTAATAGACACAGGACACCGAATACACGCAGCGGGAGCATTTGAAATAATTAACAGACAAAACAGACAGAGTCTTCTTCGGTTTGCTGAAGCTATCGCAATAGAACGGCTGGAACTTGGCCTAATGTCGTGGACCGTAAATAACCTAGTACCTCTCTCCTCCGTATTATAATACACCAATGTTTGTTCTGTTGTAGATACCTTATTATTATTATTTATTTTATTCCTTTACGTTCCCAGTGGAACATAAGTTTAAAGCTAGAGCTTTACAGTTTCGGTAGCAGTAGCGTTTATTCTTAAAGAATGGGGTTGCTAGCCTGTCTCATGTTCAACCTTCCCCCTAAACTGACCTTACTTCCGGCTAAGCGAGGTTCAGGTGTGCGTCAGCCAAGAATAGAACTCCGGACCACTTAGGTGCTTGGCGAGCGTCCTACCGCCTCCAAAGCCTCAGGATGGTCGGGGGTGGGTGCCTTGCGCTGCGGGTTGGCCACCCCTCCGCACACCTCTCGAAATGCTCCCATATGACCGGGCGTCTTACATAGCCTCTCCTGAGGAAGTCCTACTCACTGCCTTCACGTGGCGGAGGTATTTTTCACCAAAGTGAGAGGGCGAAAGCGGATGCCTGGCGCTCTTCACCGGGTTGACTGTCCATTGGATGACAGTCTAAGGGAGATGGCTAAACCCTGATTCCAAACCTCCAACGACTGGCGTATGAAGCTAACTGGAGCTCACCGGCAGACGTATGGACAAAGGGCTTGTTGGATGTCCTGGATGTCTGGCCCCATTCAAAAAGGCGTATGAACCGAACTCTGGTCACTGGCTGCCAATGGATAGTGGACTCCCTACTCCACTCCTACTGCCTTGTAGGTCACACTTGGTTGTGTAAAGGCTAGAGCTGCACTCTCAAACAAAAGGCCGAGCGATTCTGGGGACATCACTCGTACCAAATTCCCATGAAACTTCATGAACTCTCTTACAAACGACTCTCACCATGCTACGGCGTTCCCGGTAAGCGACGCGCCCTGTGCTCACCCGGTGGCCAGTGTGAAAAGTAAGCCTGGGCAGCGATGATTCGAGATGTTCATGAAGCCGGCTCATCCTCCCGTAGGAGATAGCCGAAGTAAAGTAAAGTAAGTCCTACCGCTGAACCATTATTGACTGATATCTTACACAGATATAATCAGGTATAATTAACACATCAAATACAGCAAACAAGTACCTTTTAATAACTTTTCTAAAGATGACCGAACCACATGAATATTTTCAATATCAAAGAATTGGATTACGACATTCCGATAGACATTAGTATCTTCATATCCTTTGCCTTGTGCACGATTAGTCAACGCATTGATTGCAGGTCGTGTATCAACCACATAAAGGATATTGGATTCAGGATTTGAATTACGTATAGCTTCAAAGAGTACCTGGTCCTCTGTTGATTTTGAAGAAAAACCTGCTAGCGGTTGACTGCTTCGACATAATGCTGACTATACAACAAAATAAACAAAATAGAATAGAATATGGTTCTTTTTATAAACAATAACGTTTTGAAATAGTATGTGGTATTTCCCGTACACCAAAACTATGATGAGCGAGGACAAGTAATAAAATAAAACGATTTATGAACTTTAATATTACACTAACTAACTGAGTTTCAAAGGATGAAGTTAAAGTATCATAGCCCCGAAGTCAAGGTCTTCCAAAAGTTGACCTTCAAGAACCAACCAGATACAGGGGATGCTATGGAATGTCACTCTAAATCAAGTCATGACACCCTTTTTGGACTTGGAGAGGATAGATACAGTATTCTATTGATTTATTATTCCCTTGCGTTCCGAGTGGAACATAGACATTCAGCAAAACATCTCTACTTCGTTCTGCTTTCTGCCGTCCTCTTCAGCTGGGTCCACGATTGACCAAACTCTCTCACACCTTCCTCACACTATCTCCTCCATGTCACCCTCACACCGACTGGTCGCTTCCCTTTGGGATTCCACTCGTGCATTGACCTGGCGTGCGATGTCATTCGGCGGCCACCTCAGTGTATTCTCGATCCGTCTCTACTTTCTCCAACATATTTGTTGAGCAATCGGCTCTCGCCCGTTGGATTGTTCCACTGCAGAGTTTCTTGTTGCTTATTCTTTCTGGCCATTTGATCTTCACTATGGAGCTGGCGAAGGCAGTTGTTATAAGGCAGAAATATCAATCGATCTCAAAGTACCATGACCTATAGTCACCTGGATGAATGGGTATATCGTGCATGATACGATTTCTCTACAGATTGTCTGTGTATTAACTGAGAGACATTCTTACAACAACATAAGCTATAATTATACAGTGTAATATCAAGTTTGCAATATTTTTTTGGTATGTTATTCAACGATTTTCCGACTTTTTCCCATCTGAATTCTGATTGGTTATTCAAGGTCATTGTAGTTTTGGCTATAATATTTTAACTTTGCCAATTTTAACAAGGAGCCTTGCACAGAAGTGCAGAGGTTTAAATTTCCATAACGTAGACGAGAGAGAAGAGATTCAAAAGAACCATAATAGACATAAATGTGAGAGAGAAAGAAAAGTAACACGGGAAAACATGGGGATTTAATGGGTACTGGAGATTACAAAGAGTGAATGCATCTGATGCCACTGAGAACGGTTTCAAGTCGTATCACCAACAGTCTCAAGCCCTTGGTATCTTAGCAACTTAAGGATTCCAGACAGGCGGTCTACACCTCTCTACGTGGCTCAAACCAAGAGTCGAGGTCTTCATGGATTGATGTCCAGTTTCGCATTTGACTACTCCTAACTCTTCCCCAACTTAATCCTATGTCAGCTAATATTTCTCAGTGGTTCAGCATACACAACACGTGCCCTAGGCATTTCAATCCATTCACCTTCACAACTTCATCGATCGATTTACCCTCCTCATCTAACATTCGACACCTAAAACTCAGTGTTGCTCACCGTAGTATACAACTGTAACGACAGAGGATAAGGGCCAGGCAACAGATCGTTTACCGAAAATATCAACACACATTTATAGATTTTTATGTACATTGTTATTAGCGTTATTGTTAGCAGAAAAGCAACGTCTCCTTATTGGTTGTTTTCTTGCTCAAGGTTATTCTGTTATCCCTTTGTGGCCGTTTCTCAGAAAGTTAAGCCATATATGTGCGAATCGTATTTCCACACGTTAAGTCTGCTGTGATTGGTTGGTGAGTTCCTTAAGGTTAAGGTTTGCTCTTGTTTTTTCTCATGACCAAGATTTGAGACGTTAACGTTGACGTAAATTGTTGTCTACAATTTTTGCCAGCAGACAGCTCTCACCACATTACTTAACACGCGAGAAAGAACGCAGATATCTGTAAATAAAGACAGCTAGTCTCTTTCGGTCTTCTATCTTCAACCGCCATGTCGTGCAACCGTATCATACTGTTAAAAGTGGTACGATGAGGTATATTTGAGGTCAGTATTCACTGGTTTCGAATCTGCCGTTGTTTAAACAATTGAATCAAAACTATAGGCAGGAAGAAATGGAGATGGATTGGCCATACTCTGAGGAAACCATCAAGTGACATCACTAGACAAGCCATCGCTCGAGTGGAACCCGAAAGGGAAGCGGCGAGTTGGTCGTCAGTGCAACGGTGACTTGGAGGAGGTCATGTGAAGAGGAGATGAAATCATGTGGGCAGACTTAGAGCCAGGTGAAGACTCTAGCAGAGAACCGAACGCAATGGAGATGCGTGGCTGAAGCCCTATATTCCTCTACGAATTAAAGGAAACAATAATAATAATAATAACATAGTGAGCCCTAAATTCAAGTTCCACCCTGTTCAATGCTTTTTAGAGGTGAAAGAATGACACCCCAAGGAAAATCACACACACACACACACAATCACTAGAATTTACTGACAATTTATTTGGGCATGTTAACGTCAATTATCAGACAAAATAGGCTGACTGACTGTAAACAACATGGTGTTAAGTCATCCACCAAAAGACATGAGATTATGAATAAGCTAGTCTTTGAACACATTAATTCTAATGTATTTGAATAGCCTAACAACATGTCGGCTGATTTCAGTCACAAAATGTTAAGCGGCATAGTTTGGTAATCATGGTGTAACTTGGCAGTACATATTTACCCTAAAATATTAAATATTCCCATCATTAAAATGAAAAAAAGATATATAAGAGAACAGTACTGGTTTATTCATGGTTTGTAGGGATTTGATTGGTTATAGGATTTTCATCGTGAACTGACATTAGTTAGAGAACCATTTGAAAACCTGGGAGTACTGGACAGCTGTTTCGTCCTAGTTTGGGACTCTTGAGCAGTACGCAACCACCGCTAGGGTTCGAACCCAGGACCTTCTGGTTACAAGGCGAGCTCGTATACTATGCTCTAGTGGCTGGATGGTTTACGGGCCTGCCTTATAACTGGAAGCTCTTGGATTCGAAACTCAGTGGGCATGTACTTCTGATGAGTCCCGAACTAGGAAGAAACAGCTGTCCAGCACTCCCTACTGGTTTTCAATCCTTCTCTAACTGATATCCATCTGTGATTGAACTTGAAATAGACCAAAACTCTTGAAAATATTGTTTCAAATTCAAATTTCCTCATACTTTACTCATAAATACATAACTTTATGTATGTAAAAAAATATTTTAATCAATAACGGTCAGTTTTTGGATCAATGACTGAAGTGGACTATCCCAGCAGATTTATCAGGTGACACATCAACCGTGTGTACAATCCAGTGAAACCAATAACAATTAAAAAGAAACAGTTGGACACGTGGCAACTGAAGTTGTAAACCAACGACTGCTTCGAGGCATACGAGGGACTTATATACAACTGTCACTGTTTGTTTATCGATTTCCAACCGGCCAGTCACCACTACTCAGGTGACAGACAAGTTGCTTGACTGTGCCATTCACTATGTGTATTTACAAATTTAACTGCCCATATGGAGAAAGCTACACACAGAGGACAAATAGGCAACTTAACACACGTATTATTACACACCTTCCTTTATGGTTCAAAGAAAACGTCAGACGAAATCCATAAGCAGTTCGATTTTGTCTCATATCATTTGATAGTGGTCGCCAAGTAGACACAATACGCGCTGTCATAGATGGAATTAGAACTTTTCTCATACACAGCAGAAGTTATGGGAATGCCAGAGGATCACTCTAGGGCAAAGTTCAACAATAGCGAACGCATGAGTGACCTTCAGTCGACCAATCATAAAAATGAGGAATGTTTGCTCAATAAAATGATATATATTGACAAAAAAATGCTTGAAAAAGCATTAAACAGGTTATCTTTCTCTGACATGGCTTAAAAATACGTCCTAGTTATATCGAGGAGTATCAGCTGCTAAGTTAGACTAGTTCCTGTACATGCATTCACCAAAATGTGAATCGTTTATCCCTCTCATCCTACTTGCAGTCTTCTAAAAAAGCCCTCGGTTGAATTATTATGGTTTCCAGCAAGAGGATAGACGACTGCTTAGCAAGAAAACGTGGATAATAAAACAAATTAAAATATATGACATCAACTCTAAATTTATCCCTAATTGTAACCCTAACCTTAGTCCTGACCCTTACCCTAATCCTATATATGACGCTGATCCTAACCCTAACCCCGATACTTACTTTAACCCTAATCATAACCCTAACGAGCTATTACCACTTTGTTCAAACAGTACTTAAAAACGTGATCTGGGTGAAATTTGCTCCTAAGTTGGTGAATAGCGTTGATATTTCAGCTATGATAATGACAGATGCCGTTAGCCAACGACTAGCATGCGTTCAAGGTCATTGGAGCGTTCACACTCCTGGGACGTTATTGTTGAACTTCGCCCACTCTAGCCTTTGTATTCAAAAGAAGTTTGTTCTACCCGTGTATCACATATGGCCTAGATAAAGCTAATAAATTAATTAAAATGACCGACTCTTTTTCTTATCTGAATAAAACAAAAATGTACCAGCATAATATGTGCTCGTTTTTCATTATTTCGATGAATCTTCTCAACAGTCTACTACCTGAACAATACAATAATATAATAGAGACGATTTGTAGTTCAGGTGGATGATTCGCAATTAGTAGTGTTCTCAGGACAAATTACAAAACAAGATCAATGGCGAATGAAATCTAACGGACCTATTCTACCTCGATTTTATGGTAGACCAAAACTATACAAACCAAACATTCCCCTACGACCAATCGTTTCGCTTCCAGGAACACCAACATATAATCTATCTAAAGAACTTTTCAGGAGATTAAAATACCTAGCAGAATCATGCGACCATTCAGTCAATTCGTCAATCCAATTTTTAGAAGGAATCGAAAACATTCAAGTGGACGACAATGAAGTAGTTGTGTCCTTTGATGTCACAGCATTATATACTTCAGTTAGTCCAAAACTAGCAACAGAAGCTATGCAACAATTACTCTGTAGTGATGAAAACATAAAAACGA